AGGAATGTTATTCAGCCCTATCTTCTTTAAAACAGGTTTGTTGGGTTAACTATTCTTTACCACTGAGAAATGGAAATACCTATTCCATTACTTAAACGTATGGTGTTCAAAGTGTGAACCAACCCACGTCTGACACTGTTTCCACAGCAGCATTATTTCCACCGCACCCACTACTTGGAGGAATCTAATCCTGCAGCAAATACGTCGCCACGCTCGCACGACCTAACAGTGCAGGGCATGGGAAAAGGGCTGCGCTGCACTTCACCAAGCATTCATTGTTAGTAACAACCCTGATTATAAAGGCAAAAGTCTGCTTTTCCCCCTAGTCCCTACCAAAAGTGCTTCAATGGCTTTGAGCTATGTGTGCTGCTGCCTCGGCTGCAGCCCGGCCGGTGCGTTGCTGCCAGGGTGGTGAAGGTGCCGTCGCACGCGTGCAGCTCATCTTCTCCTCTGGTCTCCTCAGTCAGGCACTTCCTGCTCTCTTACACCAAGGCAGTTATTGGCAATGGCTGATGTAATTAAGATGTTTAAACTTTTAATTAATCATTGTTAAATAATTGATGTAAAGGCATGTGTAGATCACTCTGAAACCTGATGAAAGAATGCCAGCTTCCCAGGTCAGGTCAGATGGAAATTGTGGTAGATTGGCCAAACTCTGGGAAGTGACTTACTAAGTATATTCTCTCAGCCATTTTCTGTTGCTACAGCTAGTCCTTCACTGCTTTCGGTAGCATTTGACTACCAAGACTCCATGAAATTATGTGGCTGTGAATCACTGGCGCTTCAACAAGTTTTTCACTAAACAAATATTTTCTTTAGGAAGACAAAAGAGAAGAAAATAGTTGTCTCAAATCTTTCCTCTTGGTATTTGTTCTGTATGTGCAAGGAAAGAGCAAGCAAATGGTCATATTTCTCAACAAGGCACGCACATTCTTTGAGAGCAAGTTCTCCCTGCTACAAGCAGCAGGTGTAACTCTCAGCATAGAAAGCAACAGCTTGGTTTTTATCTTGGAAGAAATGCTATGCAACTTCAGTGTCCCTTGAAGAACCTAATTTCCACCAGAATTGGACACACCCAACCCATGTAAAAAGAGATTAGACAAATATTTAATTTTGTCTGAGTCACTGCTTTTTGAGCTATGAAGCATGTGTCTGTGGGATGTTCACTGAAGTCTGCTTGCCTATACTGATGAGGAAAGCAGAACGGAGTAGTAAACTTCGGTGCAAGAAGGATGCACTGTCACTGCTGGGAAATGTGCATCCTCTTCATCTTCTGTGACAGAAGGGATGTGTGGGACAGAGCAGGGAGAAAGCACAGACCATAGCATCTGCCAGGGGAGCCTCGTACAAGAGCAAATTGTTGCTGCTGGAGTCGTGAATCAGGTTGTGCTGCGTCACATCTCATGATATGACAGTGAGAGAAAGGGGAAAAAAAAACAACCTTTTTTTTTTTTTTTTTTGTGTGCGTGTGTTTCACTATCATAGGATCATGGAATGCCTGAGGTTGGAAGGGACCCTAGAGATCATCTAATCCAACCTCTCTGCCATGGGCAGGGACGCCTCTCCTCTAGACCAGGTTGCTCAAGGCCCCATCCAGCCTGGCCTTGAACACCTCCAGGGAGGGCACGTCCACAGCCTCTCTGGGCAACCTGTTCCAGAGTCTCACCACCCTCATACTGGAGAACTTCTTCCTAAGATCTAGTCCAATATATATCTATATATATGTATTTCACATAATAAAGAATCAAAAATAGTTTTTAAAAGGCTTATTCCAAAATGGAAATACAGGAAATCTTTTATCCTGAAAACTGCTGGAATGTGATTTTTTACTGTTTTTCAGACAAGTTTGGTTAAGTTTTTAGTAAGACAGTTGCCAAAAAATGGAGCATAAGGATTTTTCAAATCACTTTTTTAGGAACAATGTTTTCAAAAATTTTTAATAAGCTGCAATAAGCAATATCTGGTAATAGTGACAGGTTATTATTTCTCTGTATGCTTTACAATTTATAATGCTTCACACAGTATTTCAGGGTATCTACCTGTGTCTATCTTTTTTCTTGTAGAAAGTGTTCATATTTTCTGGAACTTTTCGGATGAATTTGGATCCTTATGGGCAGTGGAATGATGAAGAAATATGGAAAGTTGCAGAGGAGGTAAAACTGTTCAGTGTTATTTGCTTCCCTCTGGTGAAGTGGTTATGGCAAAGTGCATCTCAGGTCAAATGATTGTCATATGTTACATTTATAGAGAGTCTGAGAAGAAAAAGTGCTGAGAAAAGATAATGCTGTGCGATAAACCCTGTTTCCTTATTACCTAATAAAAAGGCACCTTTGTCAGAGACTAAAAGAAAAAAAAAAGGAAAGATAAACTTCCATACACAGTCTGGGTTCCTCATGCAGTGATTTAGCATAGGTGAAGGTTTATGTTTGGCTCTGGTGGGTGACTCTGAGAGAAAAAAAAAAAGTAGAGGAAGCTGATACAGCAAAACGTCCTGCAATTTTTTTTCTCATTTTAATGCTTTGGCAAATACATGAAATCTCTGCAGGGCATTTCCTACCAAAATGTGTAAAAATGGCCACTAAACATTTTGGAAACCAGGAAAGAAGAAACTGTTGGTGGCCTGCCCTAGAAATAGGACTTGTGTTATTGCAATAGGATGTATTTATTTTCAGCTTAGAAAAAACTTACTGCAAAGTATTTTGCAGTTACTGTGATTCTCAGGCCAACATAAAGCCAGCTGAGAAGGAGCACGCTCTGACACTACATTCACTACTGCCTGCTTGTGTCACAGGCAGCTGCCTCTTCCAGGGAAAAGAAGAATCACGGAATGTTAGGTTTTATGAACCTGAAAGTTTCCTTCTAATTCTGTGTTGAGGTTTGAGCAACATTTTTTTTTTAAACATTTTTTTCCCCCCAAGAATAAGGGCCAGATTTCTACCCTTCTGTTTCCATGTTGAGCTGAACTCGATGCATTACGGTTGTCAGATGCCACCTATTGGCTCTGATAGTGCTTAATAGGTTGCACAGGTACACGTAGTGCCTGGAGAAAAGGCAAGTGAGGGTTACAGGAGGGAACGAGCTGCAGCCTAGAAAACAGATTTCTCTTTCCAAGGCAGGGACGACCTAATTAATACAGACTCAGTAATGAATTGCTGCCATTTTCCTTGCTCATAGTAAGTCTCAAGTATCAGAAAATGCTTACAAGTGTGGGACTTAATCTGAAAGCTTCCTCCTTTTCCATCCGGGAGGTTGATTCTGTCTCTGCTCTCTCTTTTGGGTTTATCTAGTTTCTTCCCTATATTTGGAAAAGAGGTAAATAGTCACTTTGTATGAGCAATTTACTGTCAAATAGAAACATTGTGAAATTTTTGGTTAAATGATGCAACTGCAGCTTTTCAGCTGATCCTAGCAGAGGCAACAGGGTGCTCAGTGCTGTGCTGCACTTCTCTGAGGCTGGGGGAAAAATGGAGCGTGGGTTAACACCCCCTTTCTTGAAAAAGACGAGGTGTACTTCTGCTTTGAGGATTGTTTTCACTGTCAATGTGAATTGAGCCTGGGGTTTTAAAGAGTTGAACCTCATTTACAACAGAGAGAAAAAATATTATTTCAAAGCATATATCGTTAAGGACTTTGGCAAATCCAGATGTGATACAGAGTTTTTCATTGCACAGGTGAGAGAGCAAAGCAAACAGAAAAGAAAAAGAGCTGTAATACTTTTTAGTACGAGTGATTGGTTTGTTTACAAAGTTCATGCTCTTGAAATCTGGCGTGTTAGCGGCAGCAAGTCAGTGAAACTTAGGGAGCACTGCACAGAGAATTAACTGTCAGCTTTTCTCTGACCCGCGTTGGCTGCTGAGGATTTACAGAAACTTGCTGAGATCAGCATCATCTTTTTGTGCTCCTCACAATCAGCTGCAGAGAGCAACACAATGTCTGAACAGACATCAGGTGTTCACTTCCGATTGCCTCCGTATTTCAGCACCTGAATCTGTCAGACTTGCATTAACTTTTGAGGATAGGTTTTACTCTTGAAGTCAGCCACCTGGACCGTACAGGTACATGGAGAGATCTTGTCCAGTTTTAAGAAGAAAGCACCTTTTCCAGCCATTAGTTGCAAAATTTCTTTAAAAGACATTATGTATGTTCAAAAGAGGAGAGAGGAACAAAGCAGCAGTGGGTTGCATTGCATTGCATTTTTTTAACAACATGGTGCAATGCAGCTCACGTTTCCTTGTTCTCTCATTTTACAAAAAGTTCTCTGTAAACACCGCTGAGCATGGTCAGTTTGGACTTGTGGAAGATGCAAAGCTTTGCTGTGAAGTGCACAAAATACGTGTCCCAGGGAGAGCAAAAAGGAGCACTGGAAGGAAAAGAAGATACCTGGGCTGGGTTCTGGTTTCTGGTCTAGGCGAAGCAGCTTCACTTGGCACAGGCACTCCTCTAAACATTTTGTCAGCAGTGCTAGAGGGAAGCCCGTGATGCCATCAGTATGAACAAAGTGCACAAGAGCTTTGGGGCAGTAAAAGGAGCAGATGGAAACACCCTCAGAGACAATGGCTGTGGTGACCTGGGTTATGTTCTCTGTTGCTTTTAATGTAGCATGTGAATTTTGGTCACTTCTTTTTACCCTCATAGTAATCAAAGAGGTCTGGTTCCTTTTTAAAAATCACACTCCTTAACATTTCCTATGACGTAGATCTCTGCTGCATAAAAAGTTTCAAATAGATTGCTTTCTCCAGCCTGCTGACTCAGAGCATTTTGGTCCAAATGCCAAAACTCATTGTATGTGACAAACAAATGAGGCCTTAACTCTCAGCTTCTCAACATAAATCCTAGCATGTTGTAAGAGTAAAATATTTTCATGCTTTTCACATCATCCAGCTATTAGCTTGTCATCTTCATAGGACAGATTCTCCTTTTCATCTGTTTATATTTTCTTCTTGCTGCCAGAAACGAAAAGCAAAGAAACTAAAGGCCTTGGCTGCTATACCCGCAGTCAGCAGTAACTGTATGTCACTGACTTTTCCTGTCATTTTTCTTTCTGGCAGGTTGGGCTGAAGTCTGTAATTGAGCAATTTCCAGGCCAGCTTGATTTCGTTCTTGTGGATGGAGGCTGTGTCCTTAGTCATGGCCACAAACAGCTGATGTGCCTTGCCCGGTCAGTTCTCAGCAAAGCTAAAATCTTGCTGCTGGATGAACCAAGTGCTCACCTGGACCCTGTGTACGTTTTGATTATTTGTTCTATCATCTTCTAATATGAAATAAGAAAATCAGTGAGGCAGCACTACCAACAGAGACCTTCTGTAACTTGTCTGCTCCATTACTAAACCTGATTGCAGTACTGTATGTTAGTAATTCTGCATGGGAATCAGGAAGCCTAGTAACAACCTTAGCTTTATGGATGATACCAACTTTGGCAGCAGAAATGCAGCACACCGAGACACCGCAGTGCTGGTGTCCATGCACGTGAGCTTTACAACGTGCAGCTAGACTATTAAATACCATCAATAACATTATGACCTGTGCTGGCACATACATTGCAGTCTAAATAGTGATGATTGTTTGCCTTTCAGAACGTCCCAAGTGATAAGGAAGACCCTGAAGCATGCGTTTGCCAACTGCACGGTGATACTCTCCGAACACAGGCTGGAGGCAATGCTGGAGTGCCAACGATTTTTGGTGAGCATCTCTCGTGGTTTCGTGTGCTGTTGTTTCTTTACACTTGATGAATGTGCAAAACGCACCAAACAGGGTTGGTGAAGTTGGCTGGGTTGATGGGGGTCATTCAGGACCTGAATGACCTGAATTTCAGTGAAATTCAATTAATTTCAGCTGAAAAAACATGCACAAGAGCAGCAGACTCCTGCTTACTCTTTCACCTGAGCTGTTATAGACACATATGCTCAGATGAGCTGGGTCACGTTATGGACGAGCTGGATTCCTAATTTCAACTAGGACAGTTGTGTAGGCTACCCAGCTGCTGATCCAGGTGCCTTATATTTCCAATTGGCTCAGGAGCTCCAGAAAAATCCCAGCATCATCCAGGCCTTTACTATTGCTAATGCAGAAACAGCTGTACTTGTTCTTGAGCAATGGGAGGCTCCATAGGGCAGAGGGGTTTCCTGAGAATACATCTGCAGGTCAAAATCACTAGTTTCTTTCATCAAGCCACCTGAATAATTGTTTAATCAAGGTGACAAAGCATTGAAGTCCTGGGGTATTTCCTTTGTTACATAAAAATGGTTAGTAGAGGAAATAAAAGACAAGTTATGTAATTGTTCTTAAAAATGACATTCCTTCCTCTGTATTCTCTTGACTCTTTCATAAGAGAGTACCTTCATTTTATTAGCAGAGTGAAACATCATTTTTCACATGTATTGGCTGGGTATGTTAGTACATCAGGAGGAATACAGCTCGAAGCTGAAGCAGGCTAGTCAATAGGCAGGTTGTCCGTCCTTTTGGACGTGCTGCTCCTGTACGTGTGCTGGACTTGAGCCTCACCACCAGCTGGCAGCCCCTGCTGCGCTCGGCTGTGTCGGCAGCGTCCTGCCAGGCACGCAGCCTCTGCCCAAAGCAGGTTTACCACCCTCTGAACAACATTTTAGCTGCTAAAAGCTCTTTCCGATCAGACCTGTGCCCTCACCCGAGATGGGCTGGCACTGCAGTGCCAGCAGAGGAGCCTGATTTCTGCCCATCTGCTGCCCGGCAGGGGAGGCTGGCACAGCCATGTAGGGCAAACCTGTTATCTCCTTCAAACACAGGCCAGCAGCGCTTCCTTGTTTGGCAAGAAGAAAGCAAAGAAGGCCTGGCACCTTGCTGGCAGCCTTCTCCCCCTCCTTTCGATACAACTCTGTTTTCTGCAGTTAACGCTTTGTTAACCTGGCAATTTGGTGGTGCCAGGGAAATGCCATAGCACCTGAAGACTTGGACAAATCTCAGAGTTAAAAATCTCATTGCAAGGAGAAGCCAGCCAGCCCAATGTCATTTAGTAGGTTGAGCAACAGGCACCTTTTCCAGATGTTAAAATTTGAATGTGTTTATTTTATGGTTACAATTAGAAATTGCAAACTGTAAACTGGGTTTTTCCTGTTAGATCTGTTATGTCTGCATGCCCCTTCCCTGCTCCATTAATTACATGAGCTGAATTCTGTTGGCACTACCATTGCCTGTCTAACAGAGTGATATGTTTCTTCAGGTAATAGAGGATAATAAACTGCGGCAATATGAATCTATTCAGAAGCTGCTGAGTGAAAAGAGCTCCTTCAGACAAGCCATCAGCCATGCCGATCGCCTTAAGATAATCCCATTACACCACAGAAACTCCAGCAAACGCAAACCTAGACCCAAAATCACTGCCTTGCAGGAGGAGACAGAGGAAGAAGTACAGGAGACAAGGCTGTGAGGTGTGGTGTGGGCATGCTATTTGTGGAATGAATCAAAAGCAGTGCCCCACAATGACAGGACCAGTGCTTCTGAACCTGTGAGAGCCATGCACAAAGTGAACTGTGCAGGAGGTGTTTGCTGCAGTGGCTACATGTGCATTTGGGAATGACTTCCCTTCCACGGTTAATTGTGTGCAAGTTAGGACATTCTTTGAAGTTTTGCCACTTTTAATGGTAAAACCAGACTTCCTTTGACAAGCTGCTCCAATTTGGTACAAATGACATGGCAAGCAGAAGAACCTGCTTTGCCTGACATAATCTTTTCAGAAAACTTTTAGAAATGTTCTTGCTAGGGTGAGCGGTCCAGAGAGCAGGAAGGTGAAAAAAATTATCAAACCTGGGTGGAAAATAGAAAAATCAGAATGTAAAAAGCTTCTTTGGATTCACTTCCTGCCAGTGAATTAAGGGACGATACCAGCAAGGCGCACAGAAAACTTCCTGCTCTTTGTTTTCTGTGCAGCAACTATAATTTCAACTTAGCAGACAGGGCCAAATGCCCTTTCATAACAGCGCACCCCTCTGCGTGCGTGGGTGAGCATGAAGGAAGAGACGATATTGACTTGCAAGCCAGTCAACATCTGTCACCTCTCCACAGTTAAGGGAGAATTGGCATTTCCTCTTCAAACTGAGGAGACTGTCAACCCGACCCTGCACACACTTGCAGCGGGGTAAGTGGAGGCTGACGTCAGTACCTAGTGACAGGTAGGACTCCTGGCAGTGGAACTCCACTGCCTGTGTCTGGCACCTTTACATGCTTTTTACTAGAAAAAAAAAAAAGACCACAGAGGAAAAAATTCTCTGAAGTAGACTTTAATAATAAAATTAAGTTTTATACTCTTCTGGTTTGCAGTTTTATGAGGAAACTGGACTTTCTCTAGGATATTTTATTTATTTTAATATTGTTGCAAACATTTATGAAGGAAATGCTGTATTTTAAGGGTGATTATGTACTATAAAGAAAAATATATTTGTACAAAAAGTTTTATATTTGGATTGTTTTTTGCTGTTTTGTTACTAGTCTTTGATGCCAAATTATGATAGAACTGTTAAAAACAAGGGCAGCCCTAGCATTAGGCCAGGTAGTGTCCAATATCTTGTGCACTATTCTAGTGATGCAGACATTTTAGATTATTTTTTGTTCTTTAAATAAAACAAAAAAAAACAACAAACCACCAAACTGCCTCTACCACGTTACAACACAGCCCCACACAGTGCAGACACCTATACTGCTACTTCCACGTTGGTCACTGCTGCCTATCAAAACGCGTGCATCATTTTAATCAATAAATCGTTTATGAAAAGATAAGCACAAGCTTAACACAAGATAACACAGCCAAGGCC